TTTAAATTTACAAAGAGATATCGAATCTCTTGACCCCGTCTATCTAGAGTTTTTACGTCTTGATACTTCCTCTCTTAAACGACATGTCATTAGTTCGTCAGACATATGCTATGTATCGAGAGTTAGTTTAGTCTAGTGTTAGCCTCAATATATAACGCGTACACTCACAGCACTCAATAACCACAGCACCATAACCATGATGATATAATGTTTTATATTTATATTTTTCTATTTATACTTATATTTCAATTTTATATTTTATACTGTTATATTGTATATTCTATTCTACTTTAAAAAAACTCACTATACCTATTGTAATTCCTTTAAGATATATTTAAATATCAGATATAAACTCGACAGAGTATCTGTACATTACATTGTATTTGACGAAGTTTTGCTGTATTATATGAACAACTACATGAATTCTACGCATTACATTTTGGACGATTTATTTGCAACTTTATTCTCTAATAACGAAATGCTGTAAATCTGTTACTTACTGAATTATATTGAAAATGATCCAAACATAGAGTTAAAACCGTTTATATTTATAATAATCTATGTAGATAAAGACATTTATATTTATAATGATTTATATAATAAAGTTAAAGAAACAGCTAGTGTATGGTCCTTATAAGTATTTTTTTTTTAAATTATACAGTTATTTCGGTTTAAAGTTTTGCGGGCTACTACTACCTTTTCAGTTTCAGCTCTGTGGTGTAGCTAACTCTCGCATTGATCAGATGATAACATGTTAACACGTTAATCATCAATGCGACAGTTGGAAGTTAGCGACAACGCAGGACCGAAGTTGAAAAGGTATTAGTCGCCCGCAAAATTTTAAACTGAAATAACTTGCATAATTTGAAAAATTTTGTTATATCATACATTGTTGTATTCGTTAGAACCAAAGATATCATTTTTATTATAACGTAATATTTACTTTACGTGCAAAAATTATATATATATATATATATATGCATATCCCTCCTTTCTCTAACATTGATAATTTTTCTAAGTAATCACTGTTTGTAATGGAGTTAAGTTAGAACTATTTAATATTTGATATCATATTTATTAGGTCTATTTCTGTTAGTCTACAAGATAAAAAAGGAGTTTTTTATTACTTATACGGGGATAATATATATACTACTTCTAATCATAAGATATTCTATTCACAAGGATGCGCAATCATCTTGAACATGCTCCTTGACCAATCAAAACGTTGCCTCAAATTGTAAAAAGGAATCTGATTGCTACCATGTGCATTTCATTGACTCTGAGGCAAGCATTTGATTGGTGGATCTGATTTAATCTGCCGTCATTATGCATGGAATATCTAATATTCTTGTACCATGTCTATAATCCCTGAAAAATTTAAAAGATTTTTTAAAACAATTCTACAATATGCATGACGGGCACCAGCCTCAATAAATTGAATACTTTTATTAGAGTACAAAAAGATAATTTATCAACTCTCTCTCGCACTCAAATGTCGTACAGAATTGATTGCAGTAATAATGTCTCTACGTAAGTTAAACCGGATGTTTATTAAAAACGAGAATAAGAACTAAACAGAAATATTAACATTCTATTGTTCCAGAATATGAAGTTAATTTTAAACATGAATTCGATTGGAACAATATTAGATTTTAGACGAAAAAAAAATTTTAAATAAGAGATTGATTTCCAAAATGATACATATTTGAAAGCAAAAGCACAGGATTAAAATTTATGAAATAATACTAATATCTTAAATCCATTATATTTCGACCTTTTCATTTTTTATCCTTCCATACTTTTTATTAATTCTTTGTATAAACATGTTTACCCGTTCGACAGTCTCTCATAAGCACAACATCTCGCACGTTACACTTGTTATTTTTGTTAAAAATAATAAATTTTGCAACCTTTTAAAATAGTAACATTACAAATTTAGATCACGTAATCTATTTGGAAAAATTTCACATTTCTTTATAAATAACTTATAATTATATGATATAACGACATAAGTTTTTAGTAGTTAAAAAGCATCAAAAAGGAAGCTAATTTTATGTTCATTTAGAAGATGGAGGTAGTTACTAATAATATTTAGTAAATGAACCATTTTATCCCGCGATCCACCTTCCTTTATTCAATTCTTTAAGGTCATATAAACACATCGCCTCTTTTTAAAATGGAATTATGAATTTTTTTATATAATAAATGATTCCTCTAATTATTTCGCATATAAAAGTAATAGAGTAAAGCTTGAATCCGATTTGATTAAATCGAAAAATGTGTATATCGACATATTATACACTTATACATAGAGGAAAGATCCCTATTATGAGATACCGAGTATGTTTTGGTTAAATGCTAGAAGTCTATGGGTAGACTTTTAAAAAATAATAGGTCATTTTGAAGGCAATTTAATAAGCTTTAAGATAATGTTATATAAAATTTAATTCAAATTATATTTTTTTTAAATTAAAGGAATGTAAAAAGTGAGCAAATCACGAAGTCAAAAAAATTGTGCTTTTAATACGAAATGCCCCGAGAAATCGATAATAAAACGTAAAATATATCAATAGTATTGCAATTAAAAAACTTAATTTGATGTTTCTAAAATACAAACAAACACAGCTAATTTTCGTGAGAAATGAGTATGCGATGGATTATATCCAGAATTTATCTTCAAGTAGTTGGAACCAAGCATCGCAGAAATAGGCACTCGATGTTCATTCCGATTGTTCTTTTTATTATTGTACAATAACATTTATATACATCTTGAAAAGTAACGTGGTTATAATTTTAAAACATATAAAAAGAAGAGCATAAAAAAACCACAGCAAAAGTTATAGTTTGTGATATTTAATTATTATTACATTAATTAAAACATTAAACGTTTCGGCCACAATCTGGCCATTTTCAGTAATTCAATAATATTCTTAAAACGCAGAGTTACATCTAGTTGACATTAAATTCAACAGTCGGATGTTGTAATTAAATAAACGTGTTCTTTTCTATGTGAAGATGCTTCATACAATAATGTTACAACGCCAATTGTCATATCACGAAAAGTGTAGAACAAGAATTTCCAGATTCTAATTTAAATAAATTTGTATATCTTTAATATCTTCTAGGTGGAATATACAGAAATAGAATCGTTACAGCAAAAAAACTAAACGATGAATCTCAAGTACCTCTTTTTTCTTAAGAATTTCTTATTAGAATTTTGTCGTGATATTATGTGTTGTTATTTATTGTGTTGTTGTTATCATGTATTTTACCACTATTTATATATATATATATATATATATATATATATATATTTGTAGAATTATTTATTAAAAGAGAGAGAGATCCTTCTTAAGAAGAGGAATATAAACATCAGGCAAACCTTCCGTGTCACTTTGCTTATTAATACCTCTTGTTTGTCTTTTTATATATATCATTTCCAAAATTAGTCTTTTTATTAATGACTGTTTTGTATCTAAAATTCTTATATTATCCCAATCCAATTCATGCATCTCATTTAAACGGTGACGTGAAACTACTTAAATTTCGGAAGAAGGTTTTTTTATGTCAGCCTTATGAGAACAAGACTTCGATTCCTTTACATGAGTTTATTAAAGCAATTATGATTATAATTAATTCCACATTTTTTAGATTTGATAAAAAAATATTTAAACAGATTTTTGGCATGACAATGGGTTCTCCTTTGTCCCCTATATTGGTGAACATAGTTTTACAAGATTTAGAACAAGAAATTATTACCACGAATAATGTTATTTCATCTTTTTATTTTCGTTATGTGGATGACATTGTGTTAGCTGTACATAAAGAAAAAGTTGAAGGAGTTCTAGAATTGTTTAACTCAAACTAACAATTATAGATAAAATACAATACAATGATTATCTTAGTTTGTGACATATAAATACAATGAAGCATTTCAGGAAGTACGAATGAAATCAAAATAGATTTCAATAAATCGCTATCATGAAAATCGAACTCAAATAAATGATCTCAGTAAATCATTATAATTACAAATTGATCATCGTCTTATTACTTTGTAAAATCTATGATTTTCTTTCTTTGGAAACGTCCCAAGAAATCGATAATAAAACGCAAAGTACATCAGTATTACAAAACTTTATATAATGTTTCTAAAATACAAACAGACACTGCCAGTGCGCGCAAAATGAGCATGCGATACATTGTACCAGGACTCGTCTTCAGTTGGAACCAAGCATCGCAAAAACACTCGATGTTCATTTCGGTTGTCCTTTTTATTATTGTACAATAACATTTATACTTTAGCAATAACTTTTGCTATGGCATAGGAGCATTGGTTATTTTATATTAGAAATACCTTGGATATCTCATATTACGATTTACACATCTATGCCTAATGATTTTCGATCTATGCCTAACGATCATCAAATCTGACTCTTATAATTAAGCAATTCAACATATTTTTCTATTAGTACGATCTTATTCTATCACTCCATGAAGAATTTATTGTCAAATATTTACTTATTAAATAATAAAGATTTAAAGGCTCATCTCAATGAAACTTGAGGACACCCAAATTCTAAAATGTTTTTTTACAACGACTAGACATGATCTAATAATAAATTTTCCACTAAATAGTTTTCAATCCAAGAGCAATAAATTCATGGTGGAACCAATAAATAGCGTTTATTAATTTAGTAGAAACGGTATCTCATATTAGGCGTCTCTCATAAGGGACTTTCCTTTGTTATCTTTGTACGAATGTTTATATTTTATACTTTATTCTAACAGTTTAATATGAAATTTCTCTATCATAGAATATCTCTAAATTATTTATTTTTTGAATCTTAATATACTTTCATGCACAGAATAATGCGATGAATCAATTGTTGTAAACAAAGTACATAGTTGCTTTTTAAAAAAAAACACGTATTGCAAACTATATAATTTTTTTATGTACTTTAATGTAGCGTATAAAATTTGAAATAAAACATTTTTTTTAGTTTACAGTTATTTCTTCAACGAGCACAGCCAATAATCAATACAGATAACCGACAATAACAATGGCGATTGGCGAAGAAACCGGTAATGGGGGCATTAGCGGCTTCGGTCTAGAAGATGACGCTGCCGGATCGATCCGAATAGTCAATCGCACAACCACAGACGATCCAATTAGCACGTCAAGTCATGTTCAGGCCGACCTCGATAATTTTGATTCAGGCAATCCCCTTCTGGCTGAGAGCGCAGCAGTAACGATTGATGCATCGATCGGAAAGCTGAGAAGAATACATAAAATGGAGAATGCGGAGGCATCACAGACAGATGGTAGTGCGATGTGCCGAAAAGGAGATTTCGATGATGAAAACCACGCAAACGAGTCGGTGAATACGATTGAGCCACCTGATGGTGGTCTCAGGGCCTGGATGATTATGATCGGTAGCTTCACAATCAACGGTGTACTCTTCAGCATCATCAATTCGTATTCCCTCATCTATCAAGAGCTACAAAAACGATTGATAGAAGCCGGCGAAACCGAAGTCTCCTCCAAAGCAGGTACGAAACGTTTCCACGATATTAACTTTAAAAGAGATAATTTTGGCACATTATTAATTTTACTTCTTAATTTTATAAAAAGTTTAAAAAATTACGATTGTAATGATCACAAAAAATAACAGATCAACGGCTTTATCCAAATTATATAGATATTTATTATATAATTTTATATAATTTAATTTTGGGTCCTCGTGAGGTACCCCAAATTTTCGGCACTTTATTTAATCAAATGTTCAGTCAACAAAATTTTTCTTCTAAAAAGTGATATAAAAATGTGCACACATTCATGCTGTAAAAACCAGGTGTTGAATTGCTGAATTTGGAAGGGAATGTTGACAAATATTTCAAGAAGAATTAAATAAAAAAAATTAAAATAATTATTTATTGCTTCCGAGAGTGCTAGAATGATAAAACATCAATGTCTCTCGTGATTTTTTTGGATATTCTTAAAACAAAAAACATTGTATTTTTTTCAGCATAATTTGTTTTTTATATTGTTATTATCAACAATTATATCTAACAATTTATATATTATATACTAGAAAACAAGTATTTTTTCAGAAAATGCTATACGACATGCATAACAAATGCTACGTATTCCTATTCTTTTTCTTTTACAAGAATTATCTGTATAAAGTACAAGTGAATATATATAAGATTTTTCAGAATCTTTTCATTTCGTTATAAAATATTTTTATTGAATTATATGCATATTTGCTTTATATTGTTCTGCAAGATACAAATATGTAACGCGATAGTTTTTCAGGAGTTTTTCCATATATATATACGATTGTCTTCAGCTCCAATAGAGTTATTTGACATTATAAAGCAACATTATAAAAATTAAAATAAATAATTATAACAAATGATGTGATTTATACATCAAAACATATAAAAAGAGAAGCATGAAACCATAGCACTGAATGTTGTTTGTGAAATTTAATAATTCATTACATTAATAAAAAATCTTTAGACGTTTCGGTCACAATCTGGCTATCTTCGCAATTATAGAATTCGTTTTTAATTATTAGGTATAGAAACAAGCCACAAATATAAATTATAATTAATTCTTCTTTATAATTAATTCTTCTTTAATTAACTAAACACATCATGATTTTATTAGTATTAATAAAGTGTAATAGTTAGTTTCTGAGAAATACGGTGTCGCTTTAGGAGACCTATGTCAGTATAGGCGCTTTTCTTCTATTCTTATAATTTATTATACACTGAAATATGCTGAATTCTGAGGAAAATTATGAAAATATTTGAAAAGGAACGAAATAGGAACAAAATACAATATAGTACAATATATTTACAATTTTATTATTTTTAATCTCTCTCTCTCTCTCTCTCTCTCTCTCTCTCTGAAATGACACAAAATGCAAAAAACTTTTAAGAAAATTATTTTGTTTATTAAATTTAATTTAATTAAAATTAAATTTCCTATCGATATACTTAAATCTTTTTTATATTGTAAATCTAAAAAAGAAGAAAAAAATGAAGAAGGAAATAACAAAAATTTGCAAAAAATAAAAATTTTTTACTATTTTACGTATAACTTTTTTTCTATTTTGCATATAACTTTTTTTCTAGTTTAAACGTTTTTGTTGTTATTAGAGAAAAAAAATAGACAATGCAACGAAAAAAAATGAGAGCTTATACAAGAATTTTTGGCCAATGACCGGGATATCGTTAACGCTAGAAGTTGAACATTTTCAGTTAGTTTTTTCAACATTTTGGATTTTATGTTATTGAAACTCTTTTACAATTATCAATCAAAATTAATAAAGAAATAGGAAATAATGTTATAACATTCAAAGCTAGATTTTTTAATGCTCATATAATTAATATATGTCATATATTTACATACATATACATATACCATATATGTCATTTGAATTGTGTGCCGAAATTTTATCGAACTTAAAGACGCAACTAAACTATTGAAATAATATCACATTAAATTTTTGATACTTAATATGTATTTATTAAAGAGATCTTAATATACTGGAAATGTAAATAAATTTATTTATTACGAAAAATATTACCTCGATCGGAAGTCGAACCTGAATCTCTAGCATTCTGTGCAAGCGTTCTCCGAAGATAAATTAATTTGTCTTCGAACTGTGCCGAACAAATATATTCGTTATTTCTATCATTATTTGTAATTTATTTTTAATAATTATAATAATTGCCACTCTCTTGCCACTTTGTACAACATGAATAATTTTAAGTTGACTTCAAAAATAAATAATTTTAATAAAAAATTTATTTGGACGAAATTCGATGTCACTACCTACACTATAACGTTTAATTGACAATTTTCCACACCACTATACAACGATGGTCTCTCTATTTATATTATTGCGATTTTTATTATATTGTGATCCTTCAAGATGTATTTAATTTTTGTAATAAAAATGACCTAAATTTAAAACCGAAACGTTTACATATACATTTTGATATAATAAATTTCAATTAACACCCAAACATCCAGTTATACTGGCACCGTTCTTGAATCCTCCAAATTCTTTTAGCGGGTGGGACCCAAATAAATGATAATCGCATTGAGACAGATCTTTCCATACGATTATCATTTATTTGAACTGAAAGAAGAATTGGGAGGATAATACGATTCTAGTGTAGATGATGCTAGTGTAAAGGAATTTGTGCGCAATTAGCTGTAGACACAACCTACTTTTTATGAAAACGGGATCGCCAAACTGCCTATTTGCCGCTGGCAAAAATATATTATTGTAACAGAGAACTATGTAGAAAAAAATTTGTTTTTTTTTTATATTTTTATTATCGTCCAATAAATAATAAAATTTAAAAAATAAAAAAAAATTTTATATTTGATCTATTCTCGTATTAAAGACCAAATTCGACTGAAAAACTTTTTTAAAACCTTCCATTTGTAATTCTAGAAACTTTTCTGTTTTTATTACAATTTTTAACATCCTGCGTGATGTATTATAGTTTATTCAGCTGTAGCGGTTATTATTGGACTGTCAAGTAAATAGGTATTTGATAATTCAACCAAATATTCGTTAATTCAAACAAGTAACATGTTTTAAATTACAAGATTCTAAATAACCTAAATATTTGAACACTAAATAATTACTAAATAAACTGAACTAAACGCATTTAGTCAAGTTAACAACTTTCTTTCTCAGTGTAGTGATATTTCACTGGCGATATTACCATCTCCTACTTATGCTACATCTATCATATCTCTTTATAGTACCAAACTAGAGTCAAGTTCATCAGTCTTTTTTCCCCACTAATTTTTTCAAACTCATTCCCTTGGCAGTGGTTTCACTAGATAGTACGAACTGTGAGAATCTCGTTAATTCATTTATGCGCGTAATTAGATGACAAAACATTTAACTACAACTTGCACCTTCACATGAAGCGTAGAGGTGGATTTCCGGAGTATAACATCCTCAGTCCCTACGTAAGAAATAATAACATTATACTACTGTACTCGTAAATTTTAATAATAATAACAACTATAATAAAGCAATCAAATGTCATTTAATCAATAAAATGAGAAAGAAAGAAAAGAGAAAAGAATAAGAAGAAAAAATGGAAAAGAGGAGGAAGAGGGAAGAAAAAATAAAATAAAAATAAAAGAATTTATTTAATTTTAATTCGTTGTTAAGTTCTTCGAATTAAAAATTAAAAGCGAAATCTTCTAACGAAGAGATGAATCTTATGGCTCCGGCACACAGAATGCGGCAACGCTTGCCGCGCGAACGTTAGCGCAATAGTCAACCAATTTATGGCTTTTCTATGAAAGCAAAAGAATAATTATCGTTTGTCTTTGCTTACTTTGTTGTTTGTTCTTTTCGCATTTAAATCAAACCGCATTGAGAGGAAGGAATTATTCCTAAATGTAATAAATATAGAATAGACCGTTCATTTTAATCGGTTTAAACAGAAAGAGATCGTTTGATATTACTCTTTTTTTTTAAATATTAATAATAGGAATACAATGACTCACGAAATTAATTAATAGAATTATCTGAATGACATATAAATTAAAAGTCACGAGGGTGATTGTTTATATAGACAGAGCCCTTAAATACCAAGGATTTAAATTGTATGACAATTAGACAGTCATTTATAGTAATAGAAGCTAATTCGTGCTATTCTCTTGTTGATGCTGCTTCTTCATGCAACTTAATCATCAATTCTCATAATGAAAAGAGAAATATAATTCATAAATTGTTAACCTAGATACGCTGTTAATTTATAACATGCATTCGATCGATCGACTCTCTCATTAGATTAATTAACTTGCCTATTATTAATACATGCATGTTTATTATTCCAGATTTTTAGTTATCTCTTTATTATTTGTTATGAAACGATGAAAATGCTTATTGTTCTCGAGGCCTGATATTTATTTAATAGAATTTGAATCGATTTAATTATATGAAATTTAATTATAGATATAAAAAATATAAATGTTGAGAGTATTAATTAAAAAATAAAACAGCAAATAATGACAATTTGGAAATTAAAAGAAATAAATGATGAATGTTTCCTTTTTTTACAAAAAGAATCGTTCTCGACTTTATGAGCATTTTATTATTCATTAGACTTGGCGAAATTGTTTCAGCTTTAGTAGGCTCGCTAACTATTGGAACCACGTTCTTTCTGTCTCCGATTGCCGGTATATTAACGGATAAGTTCGGCATCCAGACAACAACCTTCGTGGGAGGTGCAATTGCATCCGTTGGCCTGCTTCTCTCCTCACTGCTGACGGCCAAGGTAAGAAAGATAAAAAGCTTCTAATAATTGTGATCTCTATTCAAATTCGTTTCGGAATTGTGCACATTGACATTACATGTGTCTGTCAGGTGGAACTGCTCTTTTTGACATACGGTGTTATGTACGGGCTTGGTGCAAGTCTCGCTTATACCCCTAGTCTAGCGATATTGGGTCACTACTTCAAAAAATATCTGGGACTGGTGAACGGTATTGTCACAGCCGGAAGCTCAATATTCACGACATTATTGCCATCCCTAATGGAGGTCCTGATCCTGCGTTTAGGCCTAGAAGGAACACTGAGGAGCTTGGCTGTACTCACAGCTACCATCATGGCTTGCGCAATTCTTTTTAAGCCAATTCCACGTAAGTTTTTTTGAAACTCGTATTTATGTAAGTTTATGTCCCTAGAACAAATTTTTTTTTAGAATTTTTCATAGAATTTTTCAGAATTTCTATAAAAGTTTAAAAATTTTTCATAGTTTCTATATAATTTTATTTCAACATAATTTTTTAAAAATAATTTTTTCAAAATTTCTCAAAATTTTTGTAACGAATTGAAACACTTTTCAGAAATACTTAAAAAATTAGAAATACCGGGCTAAGTATACTTTTACTCAAATACTTTTATTGTAAAAGTAGTATTTGTAATATAATTGTATTTTAATTTCGTATTTCAGCAGAGCACATAAAAGTATTTTGTATTTTGTATTTCAAATCAAAAGATTAAAGGTATTTTATATTTTGTATTTCAAATACAAAGATAAATTTATTTAAACTATTTAAATTACAAAATATAAAATACTTTCAATCTTTCGATTTGAAATACAAAATACAAAATATTTTTGTGTTTCGCTGAAATACAAATATAATTGTATTACTTTATTAAAGAATATTCTTATTAAAGATGCTTATTAACATCAAGAATTATTAAATTGTTTGTATAATTGATAAAAAAAGTATCGATTAGGAGACTCCAATGACATATGTTGTCAAAGTCATAACCCCGAGTAATCTCTGATAAGTTTTAGCTGTCGCTTATTATACATTAAAAAATTATACAGATCGACAAAATTTAAGTCTTATGCTTTGAACTTTGAAAGATGTTTTTGTAGGATTTTAATGCACTGAAAACTATATTGTCTGTTTTTTTCACCTTACATTTTTTAAATAATTGCAAAAACAGTTTTTTTCGGAAGTAAATTTTTTATTAATTTTTTCCGGCTAAACAAAAAATGATATCGAGGTATGTTTTGCGGCATTTAATTAAGAAATGTTCCAACACAAAAAATATTTTTTTCTCGATGCATATAAAAATGTTTTATGCAAACCGCACACACAAATCTTTGGAAAAATCGTAAAAAACCGAAAAGAATTGACAAATTTTGAAATATAAAACCAAATAATTAAAAAAAAAATCATAAAAAATATCTGACAATTTATATTTATATCTATATATTTTTAGTTTAAATTCTTTTTTGAAAAACTAATTTCCGATCATTTGTTCAGAAGTTATTAAATTTAAAGTTCTCTGAAGACACTCGCCCCAGAAAGTCGAGAGGTCCTAAGTTCGAATCCTGAGATAATATTTTTCACAATATAAATTCTTTATCGAATTAATTTAGAAGGGGGATTATTTCATATATAGGAATGTTCGAATGTTACGGCTCCTCATTTTTATTATTAGCATGTCAAATTGATTGTGGTTAATGTCCGAATGTTTCGGCGCACAGTCACATCTGAGATAATTAAATTAAAAAATTAAAAATATATATTATATTATATTCATAACATCTAACTTTGATCGATCATTGGCACTCTCATATGTATGTTGTGGTCCAATTAAATGGTCGGATCTTATTTCTTATATAAATATCAGAAATAAAACGTTATTTTCTTCAAACTTTTTTGTTACAATAATAACTTTTTAACGAATAATGATTAAAACCTGTTGGAAATCACTCAGGGTCATAATCTTGACAATACATGTTAAGATCATTGAGATCGAGTCGATACTTTTAACAGAGACATTAATGAGCACTTTTTTTCAGTAACATCGCAAGGAGACAAATCGCATAAAATCAAATCTCTACGAAATCATATGAAAGAATTCGTAAACGTATCTATCTGGAAGAAAAAACGATACGTCGTATGGGCTGTTTCTATTCCTCTCGCTCTTTTTGGGTAAGTCGATTGTTTGTGTATAATTATACTTACAAATAACCCTATAGCATAAAAGTTGCAACAACACTGCGACATTACAGCAATATTACAGAGATTTTGCAGCAATATTGCTGCGAATTCTATGTTGTATGGGGCCCGTCAAACTAATAATTATAGATAAAATACAATACAATGATTATCTTAGTTTGTGACATATACATATAATGAAGTATTTCAGGAAGTACGAATGAAATCAAAATAGATTTCAATAAATCGCTATCATAAAAATCGAACTCAAATAAATGATCTCTTCAACATATCCCATATTTTTCTATTAGTACGACCATCTTATTCTATTACTATCTTATTCTATCACTCCATGAAGAATTTATTGTCAAATATTTACTTATTAAATAATAAAGGTTTAAAAGCTCATCTCAATAAAATTTGAAGACACTCAAATATTTCTAAAATATTTTTTTACAACGACTACAAGCATGATCTAATAATAAATTTTCTACTAAATAGTTTTCAATCCAAGAGCAATAAATTCATGGTGGAACCAATAGATAGAGTTTATTAGTTTAGCAGAAACGTCGCTATCTCGTATTAGGTGCCTATCTCATAGGGGGCTTTCCTTTATATGGGAGAGAAAATGAAGAAGTTACAAAGTACTGAAGTTAGGGAAGTTCTACTGTAGATGCTTTTAGTTGTTAACGCTAGAGAACCTCAGAGAGGCTGTCTAGTTCTTGGCGTTCTCATTCGCAATCGAATGCGAAGGGAAGGCTTCAATTAGCCCATAGAAGAAGAGGCGTGATTGCGCGCGCAGATCAGTTTTTAGGAACGGTTGGCCTTCGTCAGTTCTTGTAAGATGCGTGTGCATAAGCACGAATAAAATTTCCTAAAAAATACCATCAACGTCTGATTATTTCAATTAGAGATTTTGCCTAATTATATCTAGGGCCTATCTCTTTCTTATTTGAATATGAAGAATTGAACTTTTTCTATACGAATTCTGTTTTATTCCGTTTTTATAGAAATAAAAAAATTCGATTGTTATTTTAGATACTTCGTCCCATACGTTCACATAGGAAAGTTCGTGACTACGACGTTCAAAGATGCTGATAGTAAGCTGCCGGTCATGTGTGTTGGTATCACATCCGGTATTGGCCGCTTAATTTTTGGTTACATCGCCGACCTACCGAAAGTGAACCGAATATTCTTACAACAAGTAAGTACTCGATAAGATCTTTGAGCTTCTAACGATATGTTTAAAATTTTTTTTTTATAAAATAAAATACCTTAGCACTTTTCTTTCTTTTGCTAAAATCTTGATACAAAAAAATAAAGAACTATTTTTTTCAGATATCATTTGTGAGTATCGGCGTCCTCACGATGCTCCTTCCAGTCACTAAATCGTTCCTCATGCTCCTCATCATTTCATTGGGGATGGGACTGTTTGATGGATGCTTTATATCGTTACTTGGTCCGATTGCATTCGATATTTGCGGCCGTAGCGGCGCAACTCAAGCCATAGGTTTTCTTCTGGGGATGTGTTCTATACCTCTAACGGTTGGTCCACCAATCGCAGGCCTCCTATACGATCATACTGGTAATGATTTTCATAATTACACATAGTAATAGAATAAGAGAGTACTTTTTAGTGAATAAGGAGCAGAAAAATGTTTTGTTTATTTTAGTTTTATATCATCCAATTTAAAATTAATAATTAATTATACACTGCCATTCTTAAATATGGAATTACATATGTCCACTTTACATAATATCCTTGGTATTAATATCCCTAAAATATTATTAAAACATTTATTAGTATCAGTTATTATTATATAAGTGCAATTTGAATTCATAATAACTAACGAAAAAGTCTTATAGATCTATGACTATATCCTAATGCTTAAATAATGTTTCAATATGATTTCATGTATATTCAATTCTATAACCTATATTTTTAATACTCACATAATAGTATCAGGAGTGGACATATAAATATAATATAAGCATCCATTAATATTTCGGGAATATTATTCAATATTATATAATTTTAATAAAATAAATATGAAATATTTTATTATAATATGTGCCGTTTTCTCATACTTGTAAACGATAACTTAATTAGATTATTTGTGTTGTTCTCAGGTACCTACGATCTACCTTTCTTACTAGCCGGCGTTCCTCCGATAATAGGAGCATTGACGATGTTCTTAATAAGATGCGTTAAAGAAAATAATGAGGGAAGTTTAAACGATTCTGAGAATGTCCCAAGCAAAACAGATTGTCAAAATGGTCGGTAAAACCAGGTATCTGTATGTTATAAATTTTATTTGGGGCCATTAAAAAATATGTTTGCTTAGTGGGGGGGGAGGGGGGGTCACTGAAAGTGAATGAAGGAGAGAGGGGAGGAAAGGAAACGCGAATGTTCAATATTGTACTGCTGTTTATTTATTTAAATTATCCACGTGATTGAATAAAATTTTTAACTATCATAATATTTTTGTTATCAGCAACGCTTACGTTCCTTTTTATCATTAGCAGACATGATCTTTATTTTTATAATATATAACAAAATAATATAACAAAAATATCATTATCTAGATTGAGATGTAACTGATTTTTCAAAATTTTTTCAGAATTTTATTTGATTTTTTATTAAGCTAAAATCAAAAAATTGTAAAAAAATTGTTTTTTCGCTCCAACTTGATCACGTCTCCACATAGAAATCTAAAATTTGAAGCGTTTTTTTTATACAAGAATTATTACCTTAGAATTGTTACCTTAGAATTATTACTTTAGAAAAAAAAGTCAACTCAAAAAGCCGTGGGTGCATTTTCGCATTTTCGTCATACTTATACGCCCTTTACTTTTGTATAACTGTATTTATTTTTAGACTAGAATATATTCTATCCTATACTTATTGATATTTAATTTTATTTTGTACTTTAAAATTATTAAATTTGCAGCAAGAATGAAGAATAGTGATTTTTCGCCGGCGAGCATAGTCGAGCAAACATGCGAATCAGCGATGCAAGAGAAATATAGTACAATGTGCAAATCCCTGCCATCGTCTCAGTGCTATTGTGTCAAACAACTGGTTAAATTGCAAAACTGTTCAGCATGCAATAGTTATCAACACAAGTACGCCAATTACTGCAGATATTCGGAGAGTGAACCATTACTTCATAGAGAGAAAATCTGACGATATCCGAATATATTGGGTCATCTAAAAACCGCGGATACTTTTTAAATGACCCAATAATTTTTTCTTACAATTTATAATAAGTTATCAATGTTTTACATGTTTTAAACTTACATTTTGACTTACATAGCAAATTCTTTGCTTTGAAGAATTCCATTGTTCGTTATTCACTTGCAAGTGTGTGTTCAGATTCCAATTCGGTTGCTTCCCAGATATCTTGTTATCCTTGTTTAATATTCGATAAACAAAAAAAATAAAATGATACCTAGGAATCTGAACATAGCCTAAATAAAGACGAAATCCATTAAAAAATGGTTCCTTTTTTTATATTCAATAATTATATAAAGGTACTAACAATACTAACAAAGGTAATAAAGACTCAACAATTTTAAAAAAATTTAATAAATACGAAAGAAAAGATTATGAGCTCAAGCTGGATGTTTAATGTGATATATCCCAGCTAACGCTAAATATTCATAGAAAGATTCATATTACCAATGTACCGAATGTTCCGAAATAATAAAAGAATCGTCACAGAATGTGCAAATGTTGATAAAATGATCAGAATATTACGTAAATATTCTTTGCATATTTCACGAAAATCGAGTGAGCGAGTAGTACACATTTCCGCCGTTAGAGGGCCGTCACAAAGAGCATTTATTCATAAATAAGAATCACCTGGGAGAGAATAAGGGAGTTTTTGCAATACCGTTTATCCAAATACGGTATTGCTAAGATCAAGTTGTTTTCTTTTTAACAATTACTTAAGAAAAGGATAACGTAACTTTAGTGTTCACCGTATCTGGATTCATGTTTATTGCAAAAACTTCCTAATATAAAAAACGCAGCACTTCGCCCCAAAATTGGACTCCAAGGTGAAAACACATTAAATGTATTTTCCAAAGTAAAATTTTGTTTAAAAACTGATTCATGGATTTGATCTGAAATTAAAAAAAAATTAAAATTTTGCAGAATATATTATACAGAGCATGCTGGGAATATGTGACGACATACAAATGATACTTTTAACTGACATTTGAATGTTTCTTTTACGAATCTTTTATGTAAATATTCGGAATATTTTGTAATATGCTTGAAATATTTTTTGGGAACATTATTTTAAGAATAACATTTCATGAATATGTAGCGTTTGCTGAGTATATTAATAAATAATAAAAATGAAACAAATGTTTCAATATCTATCGGGTCATTCTCAATATTTAAATATAGTTAAAATTTAATAAATGTTATATTATTAAAATGGTAATTTAAAAATATACAAATATAAAATATAATATATCTACAAATATAAAAATTCTAATAGTATAAAATTTTTGTATATGTTGAAGTCGCTCACAATTCTTTGTGAGAAAAAATGAAACAGTAGAACAATTGAATGACTCGTATTTTGCAAATAAATTGGGTAGTTATCGAAATAAAAAAATTAACAACAATAAAATGCGTATAATAGTCAAATTTGTAGATAAGTTTTAAATTGTATTAAACATTTCAAAGAACATGAAAAAAAATTGTAACATAATATTATAAATTTTAAAAAAGTGCGTGTACAATAAATTCCATAATGACAAGGTATTTAGAATTAAATTTATTCTAATCTGTTATAACATATCCATTTTTTAAGGCAACGGATGTATAGAATGCTATATATACATTTATCCGTATATTTTTATTAAATTGATGCGCATATATCTAATTAATATACTATATAGTATATTAATGAAATTACTACATATCCGTTATCTCAATAGAAACATTCTCGTAATAAATAATAAAAATGAATAAAAGATAAACGAGCAATTAGCAATTGGCACAGTAATCGGTGCGTAATTCGCTTCAAAAAAGCTTTATCTTAAATTAATGAAATGAGAATTGTACATGTTTCGGCTAGTATTCTAGCCTTCTTCAGCAAAAACATATGATGAACAGTCATGATCCATGAAATTGCAGACGTAAACTTACGATATATAAAATTTTATAATATATATATTAAAATAGGAAATGCAATTTTTCAATCCAATTGCATCCAACTGAATGTAATTAAATCCAATTGAATCCAATTAAATTTAAAAAAAGTATTCGCTATTTAAAATACGCATTCGGATAGAAAAAAATTTCAATCCATTTTAATTCATTCTTGTTTGCCAGGAAGAGCACCTGGGACTCTATTCTTGAAAAGAAACGTATACGAAAATCTAGGGAAATACTATAGTATATGTAACGTATACTGTAGCATTTTCCTAGACTTTCGTATACGTTTCTTTTCAAGAATAGAGTCTCTGATCAAATACCGGTCTCTTTTCTATCCTTAAGGGCCGGTTCCCAAACGAGGATGGATTAAAATCGATTGAAATTTTTTTCTATCCGAATGCATATTTTAAATAGCGATTTTTTTTTATTTAATTGGATTCAATTAGATTCAATTGGATGCAATTGGATTGAAGAATTGCATTTCCTATACAAAATTTTGAATTGAACAATATTCACAATGCACAGAAAAAGTTAATATTATTTTTAGATTGAAAAGCATAGAGATACACTCCATGCAATTCCTATAAATGAATAAAAATGCATTCAGGATTGAAAAACATTCATTTTAATATTCGTGAATCAATATTTCTGAAAAACTGAATCCATTTCAATCCATTCTCATTTGCTGAGCAAAATGATGCTACAATTGCTTTAAAGCAATTTTTGATTGGTCAATTTGTAAAATTCTTTTTTCTAATTGGTCAACCAAACGCTTCAGAGCATTTGTAGTGAGACTTTGACCGCAGCCTGAAACAGCCGGTTTGAGTGACTCATGAAAATATACCGTTATATCACAGATCAAACCCAGTCAGACTCGTTAGCCTAGCAATTTCGTCATGTCGTTTGTTATAGGTTATCAGAGTTATTAGAGGTCGTGATAGTATCGAGCATGAGGATGCAATGACTTTTTATTTACATCATTGCACACGTAATTTTTTCCTGTCTATGATTACCGGTATCACTGACGAGGGTTCCTGACACGGTAAGAAAGAAGACCGAACGAATGAGGTCCAACGTGTGCTCGTTCGCATGTCACGCCATAAAGCATAATTATCGCACGTTGTTGGTCTTTCCCGTTGGCCGAAGTCTCCGGCACAACCTGTCGGTATCCTACAAGCAATTCTCGTCGATTCACAACAATCAGATCATGCCACGTTCTATCGAACATATGCTTGGCATGCAACGCATGAGACAGAAGCTAAAAGAAAAATCAGCGAAATATATTGGAAACACAAAGGTGTCGTTGCAGGTCAGTCGAACGAGAATGTTTCGAAGATGATGATTAAATGCTGAATATTTAATTATGAATATTTTTTTATTGCTTATAGATTCTGGGTACTGGAGCTTATGGCACATCACGATGTGTTTATTTGACAGCAGGTCATACTAGGTACATTTTTAATTGTGGCGAAGGAACGCAGAGATTGGCATACGAGCATAAGTACAAGCTAATAAAATTGGAGCACGTATTTATAACATCAGCAACTTGGAATAACTTGGGTGGCATGCCGGGAATGCTTCTAACGATACAGGATGTTGGAGTGCCAAAGATCAATATACATTGTCCCAAGGGGACAATGGAGATATTTAATACAATCAAGAAAACTGTGCTGCTGAAGGCTCTGAAGATTAATGAGGCCAAATGTAATGAGTCGGAGCCATACATAGATTCAGTAATGTCGGTTTCATATGTTTCTATTATAAATTCAAATGTGCAGGAGTCAGAGTCTATTCATGTAGAAAAAGATATAATCGATATTAATTATTATGATTATAATATCAACTCAAATAGCAAGCGAGTACCTGATAGGATAGAGAAAAAATCTAAAGTCCAGAAGATCGATCAGAAGCCTGACAATAGAATATCATCTGTAATGTCTTACATTTGCAAATTGCACCCTCGAGCGGGTACATTATCCTTGCAGAAGTGTTTAGAAAAGGGAGTGAAACCTGGGCCTTTACTCGGTCAGCTCAAAACTGGTGCAGATATTACTCTTCCTGATGGCACAATTGTTTTGAGCAAAGATGTTTGCTCGCCAGCAAAGCCAGGCCCTACTTTTATAAGTATGTTAACAAAGGATTTTATTTAAAATCCTGTTTATCACTAATGTCTCAGATTGTGATATCAAAAGCAAGAAAACAAATTCTTACAAATTATAAGTTTGAATAGAAATATTTTCCAATAAAACATTTGTCTTCGAGATAGACTTATAAAATATAATTTTTGTTTTTTGGGGAGAAATTAAATCATTTATTTCTACATGTTATTAATTTGATAATTTCAGATTCTGATGAAATGTAAATGCACATGAAATGTAAATTCGCTCACTTTATCAATGTGATGTACACACGCACGTACGAACGCACGCATGCATACATGGCAGAGAGAGTTCGGAGTCGCTAAACATTACAGGAATAATGAATTGTGAAGTCTTATTCTTTCTGTCGAGGGATGCTAGGCGGACTGTACCTCTGCATGATGCATCCTGGTGTACCTCTACATAGCGCTAAAGTAGTTCGCGACCTTTATATGAAGAATGTACTTACGTTTCTAGCTAAAATCATCATTTTTCGTTTATTAACCATATGTAAATAATGTCACTTTTTATGCTTAAGCAATTCTAGTAATGTTCCCATTATTTCTCAGAACAAATGATTGTTATCTTTTATTCTCTGAGGACCCAATAATGATTTTTCAAGATTTATTCAGGTATATCTTGGAGGCAAAAATCGACACTTTTTTAATGCCCTCTTTTTTGGTATATTTACAAGGTTGGTTCTAGCGATTGTTTTTTATTAAAATACTTCCATATTGAATATGGTTTGCAAGAACTTTTATTGTTTATTTTTTTCATTTCTGACATCACAATCTGAAATAGTAGTGGTGAGGGAATAGGAGCCTTAAGTTTTCATTTTAATAGTTAAGTTAAGTTTTCTTTTACTTATTTTAATTTAAATTTTACTTGTGTACAGTTGTAGAGTGTCCATCTGAAGATTACTTAGAGAATTTTATAAATCATCCTGCCTTCGTGCGGCATCAAAAGGGAACGGCGAACAAAGATGATATACCATACTGCATCATTCATTTTACTCCGCAAGAAGTGATGGATAATTCTCGCTATGTGAACTGGATGAGCAAATTTGGTCTTAATACGCGTCATATAGTCGTGAATGAAGAGAATCAATGCATGGGCACTGAAGCGATGCACAGACATCAGCATAAACTCCATATGCTGCACCCTGAGATATTTCCTTTCTTAAACGAGGAAAGCTTCCAAAAGAAAACAAGGGTAAGACACATTGTTATGAACTCATTATTTAATTTTACAAATAGCTAGTAATTTAAAAATAATTAAATATAATTTTTTTTAGGAAGGAGATCTGCCGATTATACATCGTCCCAAAACACATCACACTGTTCATCTACAGCCACAATTGAGATTCGATACGAAGAATGAAGTATCGCTGCATCCAAAGGAATATGTAAACGAAGTTTTCGAGATTGACGGCATTTTAGATGCGTTAGCAGAACTCCAAACAGGGATCAACGCTCGAACGAAGACGTTACATATTAACAATGAGTACCCGAAGATTGTCATGTTGGGCACTGGATCTAGCATACCAAGTAAAGTCAGAAACACGAGCGGCATACTTCTACAAGTGGATAAAGACCACAGTATGTTACTAGATTGCGGAGAGGGAACGTTCGGTCAGATAGTGAAAATCTATGGAAAGTCTGGGGCGCACAATATCTTAAAAACGATAAAGGTAAGATGATCATTTATTTCTAAATATTTCTTTTTTCTATTTCATTTTTTTTTTTTGCAAATTCCGCAATGGTGACTTGTAATATTTGAATTGTATTTTAGGGAGTGTACATATCGCACATGCACGCGGATCATCACATAGGATTGATTGGTTTATTGAAGGAAAGAAGGAAGGTCACGGAAGATCCTTTGTATCTGTTAGCACCAGGGCATATCAACGTGTGGTTGCATATGTATCATACACATTTTGAGCCTATTTTACATCGAATGACATTGATAAAAAACAACGAGTTCTGTATGGACTCGCATAACCCAGAGTTGTATAAATACAGAAATATGTACAATACATTGAACGTGCAAGCCGTGAGGACAGTATATGTCGAGCATTGTCCTTATTCTTATGGCGTTTCTGTAACACTCCATAATGGGAAGAAAATAGTATATAGGTAAGTGTAGTAATTTTATAAAAACTTTCTTTAAAGTCCCAAGTCAATTGTTCACTCAACTGTAGAAACATAGTCTTGAATTATTTTATAATTTAGTTCGAAATATTTTATTCTTTTTTAATGCTACATGAATTATGTATGTGATATTGTATATTTAGTGGCGACACTATGCCCTGTGCTCGTCTCGTGGAACTTGGTCAAAATTGCGATCTACTCATCCATGAAGCGACAATGGAGGACGATCTGATAGAAGACGCGAAACTGAAATTTCATTCGACGGTCTCGCAGGCTATACAAGCAGGCGAAAAAATGAAATCAAAGTTTACACTATTGACGCACTTTAGTCAACGCTATTCCGTAATACCTCATTTGCCGGATAACAAAAATGGTCCTAAATTAGATAATGTCGGCATTGCATATGATAATATGCATATTAGCTTGTCGCAATTGCCGCTCTTGCCTTTGATGTACCCGACATTGAAAATAATGTTTAATAAGTATTACTTAGAAATAGAGGATCGAGCTGCTCGAAGACAACGAATAGCAGCTTAATAAATATTTTACAATAATATAAATTGTATTACAATTTTCGTCTTACTGATACCTCTCACAGTTTTCCATCGTTAACTTTGAAAGTAAACATTTTTAACAGACTTTAATGAATGTTGCATAGCAATGAATTTAACTAGTGGCTAAAAGTTTGTTTCTTTAATTTTAACATGTATAATCATCATTCCAATTGATTTGTAAACAAAGCTTATGTATCTTACGATTTTTATATAAATCAATTGAAGAATCAAAGAATCTTACTAAAATAGAAAACAACAAATCTGTATATAATCCTGTATATATGTAAATCAGTTTGCGAAAGGAACTACATTTGTGGTTGAAATAATTCGGCGATGAAGTCTTGACCAATAAAAAATTATCTTATTACATCTTTTAATTTATTACATCCATTGTTCTTAATGCGTTTCTACCGTGAAAAGGTAGTAAAAAGAGATGATTGAGGCTTACACAACTATATTTAAGAGAATAATACGTGTATCGTCGTCTGTAAATCGACCCATACATCTGAGCAACATTTTTGTCCAAAAAAGTAAAGTATTCAACGAACATATATTTTCGTTCGCTTTTCGTACACACGTTTTGTTCTCGTTTAAAATTAAGCGACGCGAGGCGCATATATAGTACCATGCTATAATTATGAATTAACGTAATGATATTGAAGAGGCAAACATATTTACAAGAGACTTACGTATCTTAATGTCTCTTTCTCTTTCTCTCTTTCTCACACACGCACACACCTCTCCATTTTTTCTCGAACTGAAGAATTCTTAATTTTCCACGTATTATATTCCTAAATCATATTATGATTCTGTCGATTTTTTGTTCATCGTTATGAAAAGAGCGAGGAGACTGAAATGAAACTTATCTTACTGCTAAAACACACGCGACATCTGTTAAAATATCGTTCCCAATAAACGTAAAAAAAAAAAAGAAAAAAGCAAACAGATTTTCACAAATCTGTATGCTGCGAATCTTTCCATCACCAAGCCTTAATTCGGCATATTTCATTTACTTAACATACGCAGTAAGCTAATACAGTGTGAAGCAGGATAATACTGTACTATTAGTACAGTATTAGTATAGCAAAACTGAGTGTGCATCTCGTTAAACGAGCTTTTCCTAACTTATAAAATCGTAACAGATGTGTCTTGATAACGAAATCTGCAAGTTAATATCGACCTGGGAGGCAGCAAATCGAATATTGGTCGAATTGGATCTGTGTCTCTCCTTTCAAACGTGATTCTTAATTATATATATGTATATATGTGTATGTATATATACGAGATGAATAAAAAGTACCGAACCTTTGAATATCTCAAAATATATAAGTTTTATAAATTAATGTTTTAGATAAAAATTGTAGGATTTAAAAAGTATTTACTGATCTTGTCAGATTGACCTTGATTGTCAATATCAGATCGGCGTCACATCGATTTTTTTAATGGAAATTTCTATTTTTCATTGCATATTCTTGTAGCTTATCTCGAAAGCTCTTTAAAACATTATAAGAAAATATTTTTCCATTAAATATTTTTTGAGTTATAAGGCTTGAAACCCACAATTACGCCAGCATTATCTAAGGTTCAACTGATGGTTAAAATGTCTCTTAAATGTTGTTCAGTCATGATCTGGACATCATATGTTAAGATCAAAACCTTTAGAGGTTGTTCCTTTTATTTTCACTTTTACACTAAATGTTATCAAAGTCATAATCTTGAACAACATTTAAGGGATTCTAACCATCAATTGGACACCTTAGATAATATTATAATGTCGTCGGTACTATAACTTTCAAGTCTTATAACTCAAAAAATACTTAATGAAAAAAAAATTTGTTATAGTGTTGTGAAGAACTCTCGAAATAAGCTACAAGAATATGCAATGAAAAATGAGGGTTTCCATTTAAAAAAATGGATGTAATCTTGACCTGACCTTAACGACGACACTCAAGGTCAAACTTATAAGACCAGTAAATAGATCTTTTTAAAACCTACAATTTTTGTTCGAAACATTTTTCATAAAACTTATACTTTTTAAATATAGGTTTTATAAAAAAGAAATTCCAATACTTTTTATACATACTTGTATATATGCGTGCATGCGTGTGGTGTGTGTGTGTATGTGTGTGTGTGTGTGTGTGTGTGTGTGTGTGTGTGTGTGTGTGTGTTGTGTGTACAGAATATTTAGGTCCGATATATAACGGTCCGATTTTTTAGATATAGTTAAAGAAAAAGATGAATATTTATCTGTTTCATACGAACTACAATGTGATAAAAAAATTTTTTTAATGTTTTTAATAAAATAAATCAAAGTTATTTTGAATTTTTGTAAATAGCACTATACAATTTCATAATATTATAGAGGTTTTCAAAACGAGTTCAACACACTATTGAGAATATCACCTTTATTGATGCTTATTGATTATATATATATAAATATACATAATATATATATTATATATATTCATTAATAAAAAAAGACTACGTAAATAAATTTTATTAATTTATAACAGATTTTATTGATATTTAATTCATGAACGATTGCTCAGCCCATAATGCACGAATAGTTCAAAATTTTCAGAATATTTTTTAAAAGTGTTATAAGTGCATGGATCAGTTCGATGGCCGGCACATTTTTTTGGATTTTTTCTTGTAGGAACATTTGAAATTTTTGTATATATCAAACACCAATAAATAATATTCAATCTTCGAGAGAGAATAATTACAGATTGTGTAATTTTGAATCAAAATAGTGTAATAACTGCTACGCGTAGTAATATAATACGTAATTTGTTAAAAAGAGCAGAACTTTGTATTGCAAGCAATTTGAAACATTTATATAAATTAAAGCTCACATAAGATAAAAATAAAATTTGTTCACATAAATTATATAGTTTTTGTTTATTGATGGATATTTATAATACATATATTTTTTTGTGTATAAGATCAACAAAACATCAATAAAAGTGACATTCTCAATAGTATTGAACTCGTCTTGAAGATCCTTATAATATTATGGAAAAAAATTTAACTATTTAAAAAATTCAATCTTGACTTTTTTATTAAAAACTTTTTAAAATTTTTTTATGGCTTGTTGTCTACATGAAACTGATAAATATTCATTTTTCTTTCCTTTTTTTTTTAACTGTCGGAAATGTAAAAAAAACAGTGCGGACCATTACCCTGGACATTCTGTATGTATATAATATGTATATATATTCTTTAAAAAAAAAAAACCTATTTAATATATAAAAAATATACCCATAACGATAGCAAAACCCATTACTACGCTGTGAGCAGAAAGAAAAATGTTTTTTGCTGAATGCATTGATATTGATCGATTTATACTTATAAATTTCTTTTGTCTCAGAATAAGATAAGATAAACTAAACAAGCATATTAATAACGATTGTTAAACCAATTCTATGATCAATGTCTCAGGATTATGAATAAACGTGTAAATACATACAAAGGGCATCGATATACAATTGAATTTGCAGTGACAACTGCAAATTCATATATATCTATAAATATATAAAGATATAAAAGTGTGTATTTTACTTATAAAATAGACCGTAATTGTAATAGCCGGTCCTTTGAATATCTTTCGGACTTTTATGTTATCCGCGTATAAATCGCCAGTCTTGAATATACTGTGGATCCACGAAACTTTACTAAGAAAAAAAAGTATATATTGCAGTGGAACATCGATTATCGAAAACTCGTCGTTTTGACGCGATACGGCATGCTCGATTAAGTATGTGGCAGGAAATAGCGCAAACTGCCGATCTCTTGCTGTTATTGTTCCGGGGACATGGTGCTACGAGTTATGACCACAAAGCTGAGGAGGCAGTTGAATACACATTTACGTTTTATCCTCCGCATTAGAACTCCCATTTCGTGGCGGATTCGTAGTCTGACTCGCCTAAACGCAATGCGCCATTCTTGCCCGCGGTGAGATATCGACCATCTACGCACTTGATGCAGATGCGTGACGGCTCGCGCAGTTCCAAATAAAAACCGTCGGACGGCATGTCTGAATCCACGGTCACTCCCTCGCTGTCTGCATGCCAATATTTACCATTTTGTCCTATAAAATAATAAATAGACAAATTATATTATGATACAATTTATTCGAGTGGGAGGCAAATACTTCTTAATATACAATAATATATAATACAATACAATTAGTTGATTGTCCTTCTTATCGCCTTATATTATTATACAGGGTGTTTACATAAATAAGGTATTTGTTTACATATTATAATTACTAAAAATTGCCGAATATTGGTCTTTAATAATTTTTTATTTAAATACTACCAACTTTACAAAAAAACAACAAGAGATGAAAATTGTTTATTTTCTTTTCATAGAACTCTAAGAATTTTTTCAGAATTTTTTATCAACTTTTTAGTTGATTTTTTTATTGGCAACTATTTTTACCAACATGAGAAAATACTATTTAAAAATTCTGAAAAAATTCTCAGAACTTTATGAGAAGAGAATAAGCAACTTTTCTCTCTTGGCAATTTTTAGTAATTAATATCTTGTTAACTATTGCGAAAATTGCAAAATGACTTTTCGACTCAGTTAAGTCCACTCCATTTATATAAAAGCGCTTGGCAAAAAATTGCGAGACATCCTGTATATTTGTGATATCTCATGGAGTTCCTTGGATATTTCACAAATATCGTCTAAGACATTCGTGGCTCTCACATACTTGTACATCCCTTAGATATTCGTTGAATAAATACTATCCACAGATATCAAGATTATCGCGATATCCCAAAATGACGTTCTTAGGATAAAGTGTATGGGGAGTTAAACTTGTCGAGGGTTACTCGGCGTAATGACCAACATATGTCAAGGTCAAAGTCATCGGTGCTGACTCCGTCCATATAATAATTTACTTTAAATTATTAAATTATTATTTTATTTATATATATTTATGATTCAATTATTAAATTATTTATTAAAATTATTTAATTATTTATTATAAACACTAAAATGTGTTTACAATTTTGTAAATGTTCATTTACAAAATTGTATGACAAGACCTAAATAAGAAAAAAGCTAATTTTGGTCAAAATTAGATATTAAACTAATACATATATATATTCTTTAAATGAATGTCAGAAATATGATTGCATGCCGTTACTATCGGACCTCCAACACAATCCATCTGAAATATTAATAATCCCCCCAAATTTTATTTACATATATTATGTCTTAAAAATTTGTAAAAAATTTATTACAAAAAATATTACTTCGGCCAGGAGTCGAGACTCTCCGGATCTCTAACATTTCGTGCGAACGTCCTAAGCCTTTAGACCACCGAGGCCTTAGTAATATTCTTCGCAATAATCA